TTGTATGTGATTGTATGTATGTGATTGTATGTATGTGATTGTATGTATGTGATTGTATGTAGGTGATTGTATGTATGTGATTGTATGTATGTTATTGGATGTGATTGTATGTATGTTATTGTATGTATGCAATTGTATGTATGTGATTGTATGTGTGTGATTGTATGTGATTGTATGTATGTGATTGTATGTGATTGTATGTGATTGTATGTATGTGATTGTATGTAGGTGATTGTATGTGTGCACACATCATTTCACATCTGTGTTACATGTCTTGGCTGCCCGGACAAATCAGCTTCCGGCATCACCTCGAGACCGTTGTTTTGGTCTGACCCGATGAGTCCGAGTCGATCTGCGTCCCCGTCCATTCCTGCGCACCTCCGGGTGGACCACGGCATCGCAACGCGCAACCCGTCGGACCACGTGTCACCTGCCTCCTCCCGCCACTCGCTGACGACCGGGATTGGCCCGAACCACGTGAAAAGCTCTCTCGTTGACGCGCGGGTGGACGCACGGCGGACGCGCGGCCTGCCGAGGTGGAGAGGGACCTTCGGGTGACGCCTCCTCTCGCACCTGACGCTGGAAGTGGGCGGAAGACATGCAGATGGCTTCCCGAAGTGAAGTAGCAGAACTACAGATCAGATCTGTTTCGAGTTGGATGGGGTTCGGCTTCTCAAAATTGCCATAGCCACAACAGTCCAACGGTGGCAAATTGGGCCAAATTACCCGCCTATTGCGGAGGCAAACCACCGATGCGATGGACCCCGTACCATCCCGTACCCCTCACAAAGCATCGCAAAGCCACTTCGGAATCCAAACGTGGCCAACAGAATCTGCAGTTGCGACGCTGTTCCGACAAGGTCTCCACACGCTGTACCGGCGCAGCGCCCGTCGCTCTGTCCCGCTTTGGGGCTTAGGCCCCACGGCACCCGTGGCAGCCGTGGCAGCCGATCCCGCGACCGACGCAACAGCGAAATGCAGCGTCCAGCGTTTTGGATCTTTTCGGCCAGACACCACCGCTGGAGAAGGCAAGCTGCCACTGAAGACCAGCTGCAAGACAACAGAAACTGTGAAGTGAAGCTCTGGGCACCGTGCATATCCGTGCACTCAAATAAAGGCCCGCCACCGCAACTGGGAAACTTCCCGAACTTCTCTTTGGAACTCGACGGACTTCGGTCGAACTTCGGGACTTTGGTCATTGGGTCTCTTCCCCCCACCTCCTGCACTTCCAGCAACGGCACCAGGAGCGCCGGCGCCGCGAGGCCCAAAGGCTGCGGCCCCGCCTGAAACCGTGCGCCGAAGCGGGGCGGACGACCAGGCTGCGCAGCGGCCTCCAGCGGGTGTGCCGCAACCAGAGGGGCCACCTGCGAAGAAGGAGCGCCTACATGGAGGGCTTGTACGCAGAGGGGCCTTGTGTGTAGTATGTGTTTTTGATAGATTCGACACTGCCATCTCTACGTATGCTCGTAGATCATCTGCTGACTAACATGCATACCCCCTGGAAGAGGAATATAAGCTTCAAAACCCACTTGTCAGTTCTCATGCCAAGTTGGGAGAGGGCGCAAATTGTGTCAATAAAATGGCCCTTGGCAGCACCTGACCAGATATATATATATATATATGTTTGTTTTTTGGGGGGGCTCCCATCACACCCATGCCTGCGGTGCGGCTTTGCTCAGGACTGCCTGGGCACTACACTCACACTGACACGACAAACACAGGTTGTTGGAAGATGAAATTCCTCGTCTTTCAGGAGCTGAGAGTGCCATCTGGGATGTGAACAGCTTATTTCACCTTGTCGTGCGAGAACCTTGGCATCCGCACGGTTGCCTCCTCTAGTTCCTGCCAATTGGCACTTTCAGGATGTGGCGAAAGTTCGTTGGACTTAACATCATCAACAATGCAGCTATGTGGATCCATGAGTTGGCTTCTGACTACAGCGCCCGTTCATAGCCAAACCGTGACATTGTTCGTGGTTGAGCGGGAAAAACGCACACTATGCCGATTCCTCTTCGGCGTGAACATACTGCACAGCTAGGGGAGCATATTGTACCAATATGTGCAACTATAGCTGGTACAACGGTGCCACCGGGTGCCATCCTCGGCACCATGGGCAAAGCGGCATGCTTTGCCCACCACGCACCGGCCTCAGTGTCCGCACTGCGGCACCGTCTGGGGCCATTTGGGGCGAGCTGAACAGACAAGAGCTGCATGGAAAGTTCCACCAAGCAAGCCCTGCGGATAGCCTCACTGTCTCAAGGTAGCTTGCTTTCTCGGTCTTGGTATATTTTTATATGAGATTCAATGATGTGTTCTTCTGTGGCTCCCAAACACGAGACGGGAGAAAAAGGAAAGCAAGAAGGACTAAGAAACCTCCAGACTTCAACCAACTAGGAACTCACCTCTCCCAAGAGTTTGGCCCTTGGCCAAATTCAGGAGGTATTCGTTGTTTTGGGGGTTCGGCTGCACAAGCTGCAGCGAGTTGGAGCTAACTTTTCGGGCATGATATGATGTGTTCTGTTTTTGCTGTAGGACCTGGACACCAGAAAGAGACCCAGAAAAGACACCCAAAGAAGGCCACTTTGAGCGACCAAGCACCAGGAAAAAACGATACCAAACTAAAATTGTTAGTAAAACATGTCCAGATAAATTTATATATGATGATGAATGCAAATTTTGGACCTCTACCAACTGGTACAGCAAGTTACTTTGCAGAACGTGCGTGCGCAGCTCCAGTAATGTGACCTCAGGCCAGTGCCAGATAAATAAAAACTGCACATCTTGCTCTTGAGCAAATTCGGCCTCAGCTGGCATCAACGTCGTGAAATTTCAGCCCCCAAACTCAATGCACATTGGACACTTGTCTGCAACGTGAAACCATTCTTCCAAACCCAAGTTAAGCCCAGTCTTCCAGCCACATCTCCCACTGTTCCATCCACAACTTATAGGACCCGACTCTGCTCAGCTTATGCCTTTCGTTCCGGTGTCGAGATACGGAAGCGCTTGCGCCGTCCCAAGCAGGGACGAGTCCGAGCCCCGGGCGCCACTCGGAGCTCCTCCACCGAGTGCGCATAGCGGCAATGGGGTTTGTCGCACCGGCCATGGTGAAGGAACGCCTTGGACCAGAGACTGTGGTGCCAACACGGTTTCAGAAGCCGAGCCATTGCTTGGTGACGGCACCCTAGTTCGTCAGCATGGTTTGGTGTCAGGCTCCAGGACTCTACAAAAACAACCCCCTGAAAACCTCCTGCCAGCCACCCCAACAAGTCTGAACCCCCTGGCGGCCCCCACGCTTGTGAAGAGTCGCTCCCCGCCTCCTTCGCAGGCCCCCTCCCCAGGCCTCCCCGCCGGGCAGACCGACGTGCGCTCGAAGTCCGGCGAGGGCCGCAGGTCGGCCTGGTCGGGGCAGGAGGTCGCACCCAGATCCCACCGGTCGGTCGTACGCTGCACACGCGCGGACGGCCTCGCCATGAGCATAGGAACAGGCCTCTCCCTTTTGGCACTTGTTGGCCTGCCACCACCGGCCCCATGGCCCCAAAAAAGGAACAGCGCGGTACAAAAGTAGATCTATCCTCGCCACGTCTTGGTGCACAGCCTTCCAGAATTCGCACATGCGGGTCTTCCACAAAGGCGAAACCTGGCACTGGCAGCTGTCTGAAATATGTATCTTACGGGCTCCTTTAAATGCATGAGTTTCTATCTGTTCTTTCCAAGCTCATTCCCCACTCGAAACTCTAAAAGATGCTCCCCGCAAGAAAAAATGGAAGGACCGGGCCACACTGACCCACCCTGAAACGTACGAGTGCCATCAGAGCAACTTGCCTCTGTAAACCTTCACATTACCGGTGTAGGATAAGATAGGGGGGTGGGGAGTCTGATAGATAGAAAATGGTCTGGTTGACCAGCTGGGTTGTATAATTTGAAATAATTTGGACATATTTGGACTGTCTGACCTAAAGTGGGTTCATTTTGTGGGTGCACAAATCGAAGTGTACCAAGTTTCGAAGGCCTTATGGCTATGATCGCACCGAAGCCCTTTTAAGCACAAAAAGAGCGCATAGCGCTTCCGTAGGTTATGAGCCCAAGGTTTGCTGTTGGGTAAGTCCACCCACCACTGTCGCGTGGATAGGGTGGTCGTTGGCCGCCATGGCTCGGCGAGCAGCGGGCGCTGGAGCGTCGGGGGTGGAATCCCCGGAGGGCGCATCCTCGATGGAGAGCGCCAAGGAGGAGACAGGTGCCCTTGCCTTGGAGGATGTCCCTCCAGAGGCTGGGGTGCTTGCGCTGGCTTCGCAAGAGCTGCTGCCGCTGGGGCCTCCGACCACGTATGGTCCTCATCGGCGCGAAGAGTCCAGGAAGAAGGATGGGAAGGGGTTAGGGGGGCAGCCGGCTCCACTTGTCAACCCCTTCTGGTCGCAGTCGATGAAAGATGAAGCCATGCTGAGGGCGATGCGACCATCCTCGCTGCCGCAGGGGTCGACAACTTCGGGAACCGAGGTCACCCAGGAGGATGCGGTTGGGATGGACCTCAAGGAGGTAATGAAAGCCGTGATGGCACAGAATTCGATGCTGAAGAGGGAGTTGGCCGACCTGAAGAAGAAGATCGAGGACTCCAACAAGGAGAAGGACCGGGGTTTCAAGGAGGCGGATCGACCAAAGCCTCCATCTTCGACCCCTCCACCGAGTCCGCCAGCAGGTCCGCCACCCACCACTCCGGAGGCAGAGAGAAAGGTGGGCATGACGACCCTTGGAGCGATTCCTGAGTTTCCTGGAGGGGAACGTCAGGGACTACAGGATGCAGCCCTTCGACCTTCGGGAGGACTTCATGAAGCCGGACGTGGACCCCCTCCAGTACCAGAATCCTGGTTGGGAGCCCTTCAGGCGGGAATTCATGGAGGACCGGGCTATGGAAGAGAGGGATTTGCGACTCCACACCATGGGACCCCTGGGTGGCAAGGACCAGGCCGTGGACTACCAGACTGCGCTGTGAAGAACGGTGACTTGGGCAAGGGATCCCCACTCGAGCAAGCTGCTCAATCGGTGTTGAGGCAGTTGGGAACTGGAGCACCGGATGGAAGCTGGGGTGAAACCATTCGTTCGGTGGAGTTACCACCACTGCCCGAGCTTCGAGAAGGAGAGCTGGGTTCACTGGTTCTGGGCGACTGGATTCAACTCATCTCGCCTACCATGAGAGATCTGAGCGCTACGTCCTGGAAATGGTGGGAAGAAGTTTTGCAGCTGGCGATGACGGCCTACCGAGAGTGGCTACGAGCGGAACCAGTGCAGAGACTTCACATCAAGACGCAGGTGCCCATGGAGTGTAATACGGTCTGGAGTAGGATGGAGCAGCGAGGACAGTTGATGTTGCTGAACGCAGTGCCTACATCCATCAGGTCGGAAACGCTGGCGAACAGAGCTTCGAGTTCGGTGGATGTGCTCTACGCCCTGTTCAGGAGGTATCAGCCTGGGGGATTGGCTGAGAGGTCGAGGCTGCTGCGCCAGTTGGTGGAACCAAAGTCTCCGCAGAGCCTCAACGAGACGGTGGAGCTCTTGCGAGGCTGGAGGAGGAGTCTTCGACGAGCTCAGGAACTCGAGATTGCCACCCCGGACTCCACATTGCTTCTTGGGGCATTGGACAAGATGTCCGAGCAGATAGTGAAGGCATCGAGCCAAGCCGCATTTCGGACGTCTTCGACCAGGGCGGCTCTGGGAGTGGATGTTACTCCGACACTGGAGTCCGTGCTGAATTTTGCAGACATGTTGACGGCCGAGGCTGAGTCGTTGGCGATCAGTGAGCTCCAACCACAGCAGGACATCAAGTCAGCTCCAACTACCACCAAGGTCAAGGCCATGTCCGCAGTTCAGGAGGAGAAGCCGGAGAAGACGACCGGGAAGGTGAAGTTTGACGGAGCTCGAGAAGAGAAGGCATGCCGCTTCTGGGGGACGGAGGAGGGATGCCGAAAGGGCCAAGACTGCAAGTTCAAGCATGACTGGACGGGCATTGAAAAGAAGGGCAGGTGCTATGGATGCTCGGGCACAGGCCACTCGAAGAAGGAGTGCCCAGTGACGAAGCAGAAGGTCCGTGATTCCCCGGAGAAGCAGGCGGTCAAGTCCATCAAGGAGAAGAACAATGTCGCCCAGGTCAAGGACGACGTGGTGGAGCCTGGACCGAAGACTGGGGGGAGCGAGCCGATGGAGCACAACCTGTCCAGCGAAGGCGATAAGGGAGCGGGAACTTCCGGTGAGATGAAGGACCTGCTGAATGAAGCTACGACCCTATTGAAGAGTTTGAGGCCAAGTTCATCGATGAAGGCCATTCGACTGAGCAGTCTTGAAGTTCGAGAAGGAGGAAGGGCGCTTCTGGACGGAGGAGCCACCCATTGTTTGAGGAGAACCTCTTCAGAAGAGGAATGGGCGAGAGCCCAAGAGGTCAACGTTGAACTGGCCGCAGGATCGGCCGTCCTGAGGTTGCTTCCGTGGACAAGAACCTTGCTGACCAAGGAGAACGCGCAGGTCATTGTCCCTCTGGGGGTGCTCATTTCTTTGGGCTACGAGGCGGCCTGGGAGAAGACCAGATTCGAGCTCACGGACCCGACAGGTCTGGTGTTGGACACGAAAGTGGAGAATTCGTGCCCCACGATTGATGAGGCGCTGGCCCACGAGCTGATCCAGGAGATCGAACGAAGTATGGTGCGGGAGAGAGCTCGACTGGCCCATTTGGCAGGGGAGGACATTGGCTTGGACGTGGACCCCGAGGAGGCGAAGCATCTGACAGAGCTGAAGGACCTCTTCCCGGAAGTTCCGCACCATCTCCTGGAGAGATTGCTCCCGAAGAAGGGCTGGACTGGTGAGGGTTTGCCCTGGAATCGACACGAGAGGAGGCGAGTCCGAAGGGCAAAGGAGGTCGTGATCCACCTTTTCAGTGGAGATTCGAAGAAGTTCTGGCAGAGGGAGTTGGAAGCCGAAAGTCGAGCAGTCCTCTGCATTGACACGGTCATCGACCAGGGAATGAATCTCCTGCGAGACGATATCTTCTCCTACCTGCTTGACTTGGCTGATGGGGGAACAGTGTGTGCACTGTTGGGAGGACCTCCGTGCCGGACGATGAGCAGGCTGAGATTCAAGCAGCCGGGACCTCCACCACTGAGGGAACGAGAGGGCCCCTACCGGTTTGGCTTGCCACAGTTGGACCGCTACCTCCGGAAACAGGTGGAGGATGACACGATCCTGTTCTTGAGGCAGCTGTACCTTCATCATCGTGCAGCACTGGCTCGAGGCCCAAAAGTGACCCTGGCGGCAATTGGAACAGCCCGAGGACCCGGAGGAATACCTCAAGGCGGAGGAGAAAGCAGCACACAGGTACCCGTCCTATTGGAGCTGGCCAGAATGGAGAGCTGTCAGGGATCGATGGGGTTTGATGGAGGTCGGTTTCGACCAAGGACCCATGGGACACTCGAGGAGAAAGCCCACAAGGTTGGGAACCAACATCCCACGGTTGGCGGAGCTGCAGGACATCCGAGGACATGGATGCGGAGGAGACACTGCCTTGGCGGAGGACCTGACCGAGAGAATCAAGCAGAGCAGGGATTGGTCAGCGTGGGCGCCCGGATTGAAGAAGGCACTGGCAATTGCTATTCGGGAGGCCTTGAACTCCCCAGTGAACCAGGTGAAACGGATGGACCTGGAGGCCTGGAAAAGACATCTCTTGAACGGGCATCTGCCCTACAATAGAGAGTGCAAGTCTTGTGTCATTGCTGCATCACGCGGCCGGGCGCACAAGCGGGTCCCGCATGCTGAAGCGTATACGCTGTCGATCGACACTGCAGGGCCGTTCATGTTAGCAGATGACCAACTCGGAAAGGGCCGCTTCGTGTTGGTGGGAGTCTACCTGGTTTTCCAGTTACCAAGAGTGGCCAGTCGATCATCCCGATCCACGAAGAGGACGAGTTGACTGGGGCAGAAGGTGACGGGCCAGAACTGACGGTTGTTGATGAGGAGCGAGGCGATCACGATCAAGGAGAACCATGGCCGGGCTTGGATGATGAGAAGGAATGGGCAGCATTGGTAGAGCCAGAGCGAGACTTCCAGGTCAAGCAAGTGACGCTTGCAGAGGTCATGGAGAATCGAGGTGCATCGGCAGTCCTGGAAGCCGTGGGACGGATGGTGGCCAAGCTGAACTTCTTGGGTCTTCCTCTCAAGCGGCTCCACTCAGATCGGGCTGGCGAGTATCAGAGCAAGATCTTCGACAGGTGGATCCGAGACAGAGGCCTGCGTCGCACTTTTACAGATGGTGACAACTTTAAGGGCAATGGCCGAGCGGAGGGAGCAGTGGCACAGCTTAAACGAGGTGCCAGAACCCTCCTGGTGGCAGCAGGCCTTGACGAGAGCTATTGGTGTCACGCCACTCGACATTGGGCCGACACTCGACTCCGAAGTCAGCTGGAGTCAATGGGGTGGAAGCACCGACAGCTGGCGACCTTTGGGCAGGTGGTCTGGGCCAAGAGGAAGCTCTACAGCGACCGCCAGAAGTACTTGTCTACCACCAGGACACAGGTGAGAGTGCTTTGCCCAGCGGTCACGATGTCGATGACCTCGCCGGGATACTTCGTGGAGGAGCTCACCACCGGAAAGTTGTTCCAC